GACACAGAGCGGGCGGGGGACCCGTGGGGGCTCCGGCATCCCTTGTCCTACCCGGAAGCCTCAGCTGGCTCCCAGCCGCTGGCACAGCCCGTGGGTCCAGTTTCCATCCTCTGCCCCATGCAAACACTTGCACCGGGGGCTTGGATGTTGCAAAACCCCAGGTGGGGAGCAGCTCCCCACGGCACCATCTCCAGCGCAGAGTGGGGAAAATGGGGGGACATCTCGGGAGTTTGAAAGGTGGATAAATGTCCCATGGTCTAGGCATTGAAACCAGGCAGGTGGGGAGATCGGGAATGTCTCCGGGGCAGAAGGGATGCCGATCGTGGCACTGAATGCAGCTGGGCTGTCGTGCCAAGCGCCAGCAGGAAGGGCACATCTCCATCCCTCCCCATGCCTCACGGCCGGGGTCTGAGCCCTTCTCACAGTGCCCTCCCCGCCTAAATGGTGTGCATCAAAGCGGCTGCAAAGACCTTTCCTAGCAGCAGAACCAGAGCAGTGTACAGAGAGAAGGGTTAAATCCGTCTCCTTACAATCAAGCAGCAGGACAGCAGAGGCCAGAGCAGCTCCCTGAGGAGCTCCTTAAACTGCACAACACAGGGCAACCCGCAGCCCTGGTACCGGAGCTCTGGGGCAGGGAGGGGCCGGCTGCAGCCTGGCAGCAGAAATTAAACCATTTTGCTTTTAAGTAGAAGCCAACCATTAATTGATTGGTGCTATGAGAGGAAGAAAGCCTTTGCAATTCCATTAAACTCTCCCACCGCTCTTAGACATCCCAAAGCAGACTCTGGAGATGCTCTTCTCACCGTACCCTGATCTTACCTGGGGCTGTTCAGGTCTTCCCCGTGGGTCCTTCTTCAGCTGGGCAGCATCCCGGCTCCAACAAGGAAGGAAAACTGCAAGAGGCGGTGGAAAATCACCCCTACCCTTTGCAGTGAGAAAGAGGTTTCTGCTCTGGGTCTGAGGTGGCCTTTGGGCATGAAAGCTGTGACAACCCACACGTTGATGTGAGCTCAGCGAGCCAAGATCTCTTAACTTAAACTGTTGCTTAAAATGGCTCCATCCACCTTGAGCAGGATCAGGGCTGCTTGGGCAGGATTTAGCATCTTTAGCTGAGGAGCTGCTGGGAGTCCAGAGTTGTATTTTTATACCTCTCTCATCTCAGTAAGATGCTGCTGCCTGAGCAACCCCCACCAGTTCAACTGAACCCCCCCCAATCCCCTTCCAGCTCCCTTTATATGCAGATGAATTTGCTGATCAGATAAACCTGGGGAACTGCTGCTTCGGCCAAGGGCGCAGATACCTGTAACTGTGCAGGTGCATTAAATAAACTCTGCGATCCCCCCTTGAGAGGTGCCTTGGAGCCTCCAGCCCATCTCTTCCTCTGGGCATTGGGATGCCAAAACCCTCAGGGCACCGGCAAGCCCAGGGCAGCGTTAGCCAAGGAGCTGCAAAAACTGGTTTCCTGAATTCCACATGAAACCTGGCTGCTCTCCTATCTTCATCTTTAAAGGTTGGTTGTTTTTTTTTTTGGTGGTTGGTTGATTTTTACATGGTTTCTGAGGTACAGGGGCCAGCTGGCCTGTGGGATCTGGGAAAGGGCACTTTTAGTCCCCGGATCAGCTATTTTCATGGCAAAAAGACATGAGTTTGGTCCCAAAGCAGATCGTGGGAGGCCACGTTCTCCATTTAAAGCAACCATTAAGGCAGAGCCCCGAAGGTCACTATGCTTGCATCCTTGAACATGCAAATGCTGAGCAGATGAAGGATCCCAGCTGTTTCCTCTGTGCTGGGCGCATCCTGCCGGGAAGCGCGAGCTGAGGATCCCGATGCTGAACGCTGCGGAGCCGGAGCTGGGCTCTGCGCCTGCAGTGTCCTCCCAACCCCGGTGTCCACCCCAGCCAGGACATGCCCTGAGCCCTTCAGCACCGCCTGTAGCTGGGCTGCCAGCCCCCTCCAGGCTGCTTTGCTTGGGAAAGCCCCCAAAGCCGTCGAACGCCGCGGGGGAACCTCCGCAGTGCCAGGTCCCCTATCGCAGCGCCGAGAACCAGCCCTCGCCCCTCGCTTCGGGGCTGAGCCCTCTGCTCCCGCTGCACCAGCAGGATGGCGTGGTCAGCACGGTGCCATCCCGGTGTGACACCTCCTGCCCCATAGCCACCCTCCCACGTTGCCTTTTCTCAGGAGAGGGCCAGGAGCAGATTTAGGGCTTCGGGAGTTATCCGGGGAGCTCCGTGACGGCTTGCCTACCGCAAGCAGGAGGCTCTGAGCCAGTTGTGTAAGGACGAGGTCTGGGGGGGTGCCATGGTCTCGGCCCGCCCGTCCTCGCCCTTTCGCCGGTGCCTTCGGTGGGGATGGGGGTTTCCCCCAGCACGGTGCGGTGCCGTACGCTGCACCGCAGCCTCGGGGCGGCCAGGCCACGGAGGGGACGGGCGGGATGGCAGCGGGGGACGTTTCTTGCAGAGCCTCTTGCTGCCGGTGGGACTTTGCAAAGCCT